TACCAGCATTAAATTCGCCGGTACCCATTCATACACCTGGGTGGAGAGAGGCACTGTGAGAGTAAAGTGTCTTGCCCAAGAACACAACACAATGTCCCTGGCCAGGGCTCGAACCCGGACCGCTCAATCTGGAGACGAGGGCACTAACCATGAGGCCACTGTGCCTCCCACTAAATAGATTTAACTAAGCCTAAAAATGGAGCTCCTAGGCTGGGTTGTTCGAAGCCTGATTAAGCTGGTTCCCAGAATAAACGAGAATTTTGATTTGAGCCTTTTAACCTTGCTTTGAGGTTTTCTATTTATATTGATTACAATAAGTTAACCTGGCTTGAGCCGGAAATTTAATCAAAAACCAGTATTTAAAAAAAAAAAACACATGACCCCAGTGAGCTCTAAATTTGAGCCCACGATATGGTCAAGTGATTTTGGTCAGCAGAGACCTTGTTTTGACAGGTGTAAATTGACCATAACACGGATGTCAAATCAAAGCTGCATGTCTCTGTCAATTAATCTACAGCTGGAGTATGGCTGCCATACTATGCAACTTTGTTGTTGTCATTGTCATGGTGCGTGCCTGCCCACAAGCAATACCACTAGCTATGATTACTATGAAAAAAGCAATTCACTGGACATTTCCTATGAGTGTGGTGCTTCAAGCCCAAACTCCGCTATCAATAACTAAATAGTTTTTCGTTTCAAAACAGTTTTCATTTTCCATAACAAACACTCGTTGATGACTGGTTTAGCCTAGTGTATGAATCAGTCTTCAACAACATAGTGGAATTATTTTCTTTGGACCTCCAAGGGAAAAGAAGTAGTTCAAAGTACAGTAGTTCAAGGTATCAGAGGTAAAATCAAGTCTTAGGGAGGTGAATTTTGTTTTAAGTTATGGGTGGGTTTGAGAAAGACGAATTCCAGTGTTCATGTAAGCATCATCAGTATTTGTATTCAAAGTCATGATCTGAAACAGACGAGGAAGAATTGAGGATGAAAATGCACCAATCACAGCTGGGTTTCATGAACTAAATGGTACAGTGTAATCAGCCAGCATTTTTGCCTCATGAAGACTAGCAGTAAGCAGTTGAAACAGAGATCCACTTCTCGAGTGACTACATTGTGACACAAGTGATAATACTAAAACTGTGTTTAGAACAAATTTCAATGAAATTATTATAATAATTTGACTTTATTTTCCAGGGAACTACTGGTATGAAATATTCGTTAGTTTCGCGAGACTGGATTGCTGACTGTATTGAAATAACTCATGCTGGGTACACTGGGGTAAGATATGTAGGGCTACTCAAGGTTCTGAAGGTTATAACCAAGTCTTAAATATGTTTTTGGTTAATGATGATTCCCTCATGTCTGACTAGCATTGCTTACTCACTGCCCATCATAATTATGGTAATGATACACACAGGGCTAGCTAAGGTTGGAGAATGGCTTGGTGTGTTATCTCTTAAGACAGGTCTCTCATCTCTGGAGATAAGTGTCTTAGGTGTCTCATGTGTAGCGAAGCATCTCATCCCAGTTGTAAAGTGTCTCATCTCTGAAAACAGGTTTCATCCCTCTGGGCACAAGTTTCCCATTTTTAGAAACAATTCTTTCATCCCTAGAGACAAGTGTCTCACCTGAGAAGTCAAATTATGGTTTATCTCTGGAAACAAGTCTGTCGGTATTGGAAACATATATTATGAAGTGTTTCATTGTTAGAGACTTTATTTAGTGACTGCTCTTTGGAGGCAAGTGTCTCTTCTGTGAAGTCAATTGTTTCATCTCTGGAGACATGTATCACATTTTTGGAGACATTGAGTGTCCTCTCTGGAGACAAGTGTCTCATCTGTGTCAATTTTCTTATCTCTGAAGACAATATTGCACAACAAGCGCAAAGAGTGTGCATAGGCTAGTTTTTGGGATGCTAATTTGAATTGCTGTATAGTGTTCACTGTGTCATGTGGTCACTAGTTAACTGTGATTTCCTGGTTGATAATCTTTTCAGGATGGCATGATCTGCCTTGCCGGCTGTGACAAGACAATACCTGGTGTAACAATGGCTTTACCAAGACTCAATGCAGTAAGTGTGCATGAAAATGTAATGACTATGTTTTATGAAAAGGCAAAATGTTGAACCCTGTTAAATAGGGACTTGGATCATGTTGACCCACTTTCCCACTAGGGAAGACAAAAGATATGTTGGGTGAAATCTCTTATCAGTCGCAATAGGTTCTTATAGTTTGTAAAAATACAAGCAGACAGCTCAGGTGACCAAAAAGCAATATGAAAATGAAGCAACTTCTGATTCATAGCCTACGTGTAGCCATACCCACCCCCCAATGAAAAACGGGAGGGAGGGAACGTCTACAAAGAGCTGGCACGAATTGTGTTATGTGACATCAGGCTTTTACACGGAAATATATAATGGTTCCTTATTGGATAAAGGTGGCGAACAATACTTTCGAAAATGCTGATTGGCTAAAATAAATTTACCTCGTTTTCATGACATACTGAAGATCAGTAATGGTGGACGGAATGTCGGAGGCTAAAGTTACACGAACTCTGAAAGCCTTTAACGCAGCTATAAAAAAGGTTTGCAAGACTTTTGGAATAGAGAAATTCCGCGAAGAGCAACACAAAGCCATAGAAAATTTTTCTGATGGGAAAGATGTCTTTGTTTCATTGCCAACTGGCTATGGAAAATCCATCATATTTCAGTCGATTCCAGTGATCGCATCGCATCTTTGGAAGAAACCGTGCACTATTTTCATTGTATCACCACTGAAGGCGCTCATGCAAGATTAGGTCCAATATCATCGAACGAGTCATGAAGAGTGAATATTCACACGTGTATGGGTCACCAGAGAGTTTCCTGAGCAAGGATGCTTGGAGGGCCATCTTCAGCACCAGGTCTTTCAAGGCACACCTCATTGCAGTGGCTATAGACGAAGTGCACTGTATCAGTCATTGGTATGTTTTGCTGCAGTTTTTAATGTACATTTATTTCCCACAATCGAGAGCCTTGTGCAAGTCAGTAAGTGAAACATGTTTATGCTTTTTATAACGAGGCACAATGTAACGAGCATCATAAAGTGTGATAAATGACATGCCAATTAATTTTTAGTGGTTGGTAAATATATTTTCTGCAACCCTGCACGTCTAAAAGTGCTTTGTGCCATCTTTGGCCGGTCACAATCAAGTCAAATGGCAAAGAAGTAAAAATGCCCACTCACCTACCTGTGAATTTAAATTTAGTAGTCACTGGACAGAGAAGCATAATTCTTGTCCCTTTATAAAGTGTCTTAAAGTGTCTTAAAATATCAGCATAAGAATCACAGTTTCTATTCAATGGCTTTATTATTTTAACACAACTGTCTCATTTACAAGGGTCTTCCCTGGGAGAGAAGTGTCCCTTTTCGTGAATGGTTTGGAAATCTTGGAGAGATAAGGTCTATGGTCCCACAAGAGACAAGATTGATTGTAGTTACTGCCACTGCTACCAAGTCAACACGATCAAAAATAATTATTTGAAATACTTCAACTTGGATCACAGACTGTGACTATTGAGAAGAGCCTTGATCGTCCAAACCTTAAGTATAGTGCTGTTTATATAAACAAGAGTCAGCCATTTGAACAAATTTTTGCTGAAGTAATCAAAGAGTTAAAGGATAGCAGCAAAATTGCAGAAATAACAATGATTTACTGTCAAACTCGAAAACAGTGTGCCATAATTTTTACAACATTGACATTGTTTTTAGGTGACAACTTGTTCCTTGGCAACAAACAACCTAAAACCGTATGGTTGAAATGTATCATGCAGGCACTCCAACTTCTGTAAAAAAGCACATTGTAGAAAACCTGTCATATGATGATGGTCACATCTGTTGTCTAATTACAACAGTTGCTTTTGGAATAGGTGTCAACTGTAAGTATGTAAGATTTACCACATGGGCCCTGCAAAAAACCTAGAATGCTATGTGCAAGAAAGTGGGAGAGGAGGAAGAGATGGTATGCCTGCTGTTTGTATTCTGCTCTACAATGGAATACTGTCCAACCACTGTGACCAAGAAATAAAAGATTATTGCAAAACAGATCAGTGTAGAAGAAATACCCTGTTTGCACCATTTGGTGAGAGGCCAAAAGATGTCATTCCTGAGCACAATTGTTGTGACAACTGTGCTTTACGTTGCTCCTGTGGTTCAGATGATTGTCAGGATGCATTCATGGTAGAAATGTCAGCAGAGGTAGAACTTCCTGGGCCTTTCAATGTCAAAACAAGACCTGTCAGTTCACAAAACAAAGACTATCTAAAAAATGCAGTGAAAAATTTCAGAAAAGAGAAAATCAGTGAACAAATGAACAAACTGGAACAGTTAGTTAGCTGTCCAAATGTGCTTCTTGTGCTAGGAGACTTGTTCATTGCACAAGTATTGGAAAATTGCCACAAAATTTTTGATGTACAGGATGTTTTCTGTTATGTTGAAGTGTGGTGGAAAGAACATGCAATTGCTATTCTTAACATTATCAGGCAGTGTTTTGGAGATGTTGAACTAGTCGCAGAACTTGATATAGATTTAATGGAAGATGTTGATATTGACATGGACTGGGAAGACCTCAGAGATTATTCATCACTAATGGACATGGCACACAGTCTTAATGAGTATAGTTTTTTTCACTGAGAGTGATGAAACATTTACTGCAGCAACAAGCCTTAATAGAAGTAGTTTTTTAGGAAGCATTGCAAATAATTATTCTACCCTAAGTGATTGGTCATAATAGAGTCCCAGTGAAACTAATTTGGCATGACAAGGCTTCAGTGATTTAGTTGCCAGTTCATTACTTGAAAAGTACTAGACACATTAATTTTGTGACATTGATAAAGTGTACACATATAGTTGGCAATTGCTAAATAAGTCTGTGCTGCTTCAAACATTGACACTTACTTTAAAGTTTGTTTTAACTTCATGCAGAGAATATGTTTCAGTCAAACATGGATTGGAATGGCTACCCATTTGTTCTGAATGCCAAGTTTTCATTAATTGTCATTAAAGGTCATGACTTGTTACTTTTTACAATAATACCAGGAATGGTCTTATGTGATCTCTTCTACTTAAAATAACAAAAAAATCAAGTGTTGGTGAGAAAGTGAAGCACCAAAATGAAACTTAATGACAGTTCTCTTCTGCCTAACAGTAAACATCATACTCTGGGGAAATGTTTTGTATTGCATGGGGTCCAAGAAAGCTATTCTGAAGTTTTGAATGCTCAATGGCTTCAAAAGTGTAATTATTAAATTCAAACTTTGACCTTGTGATCAATACAATCTAGTATTACCACATCACTCTGTGGTTTTACAGTATACATATGGTTTGGTACTTTGATTTATAGACCTATCTAGCATATGAAGGTTGATTTATGTTAATTTTGTTTTATGAAATGATCCACGGGTATGTCTGGGGGGACTCCCATTTTAATAAGGACGGGAGGTGTTCACCGTACCTTTTAGGAGTTAAAAAAGCGGTTTTGGTACCTCTCAGTATATTCAGCCCCAAGCCACACCCACAAAACAGGACCTTGCTACCTCTTTAGGGTTTTTTTCAAAATTTGTGACGAGCATTTCCGTCCTTTTAATATGGGTGTACCCCTCCCAGGAGATTTGCTACCATTTTAATTTGCCTAGCTACTAATTTGTACATGTAGCATGTAAAATGTTGTGTCTATCAACTTAGCGTGCCCGCCTTTTTATTTCAATGTATTTCTTGTGATTATTTATCCACTTGGGCATACCTTGGATGTCAAAGTTCCACAAGAATGAAGAATGCATGTCATGATAATGCTGGTAGACCCTGCCGGGTGTATGCTGCATGGCCTTCTGGTCTACCAGGTCCTTGACTACCTTCTTGAGATCCTCATCTGAAGACTTTACCACATGCCTACCAGAAGGCTTGTAAATGTGCAACTCTGCATCAAACCTGTCCATGAGTTCTTTAGTGGAAGTAATGGACTTGCAGACTTGCAGACTTGCATTTGGTCCAAGTTTCTTCACTGCATCTTTCAAAAGCCTGTTGTGAACTCTAAAAGCAAATCTAGAGGAATGTTTCCACCTAGGCAATTTCTCAACTTTGCCAAGCGATTCCATATCAATTCATGGGCTGCTTTGGGAGTTAACAGTGAGTTTACTTGAAACATCAGGTATAATGCTTCAAGAGCATACTTAGTAATGCGCACCTTCAAGTGAATTTTTCGGCGGGAAAACAAGGCCAACTTTCTTCAAATTTGTGGCGTAGTTGATTTTCATAGATTTTTGTAATTCTTCCAGGTTCTGCTGCAAATTATTCCTCTTCTCGAGAAGACCATGACACTGCCTACAAATATACTCTGATGAAGCGTACACACGGAAATCCAAATTTGTGAGCGTGAAGTTAACATCAAGGATTGTCTTCTTCTTGCTTTGGACCAAAAATCGCTCGTAATCCTTTTCAATCTCTTTAAAACACAATATACACTTGAAAAGGGACATCGACTTGAAAATAAGCTCAAAAGAATAAATATTTACAACGCCTTTGTCACACGAGTACAGATGCACTTTCGTAGAAAATATAATTTATTTAGATAACTTGCATAAATTTATGTGACGTCGCATAACACGATTCGTGCCAGCTCTTCGTAGACGTTCCCTCCCATTTTTCCTCGGGGGCTGGGTATGGCTACACATAGGCTACTGATTCATCGCACAATACAATTTTTCCTAAGTAACTTGCAGGAAGTGTATGAAAACATGTTAGTATTGTCATGATGATTTTTATTTAGTGTAGCACCATAGTCACAAGCAATGCATGGAAAATGCTATGTACATGTAGCATAATACTCCATACATGTAAGAATATAAAATCAGAGTGTTTTCACTCATGTGGCTGGCAACCATGCAAATTTATTGGATGGAAAAAAGTATTTTCACAAGAAAAGATTTCAAGTCCAACAGGATTGGTTTTGGATACCAACATGGCCAGGGTTTTTTTTTTTTTTTTTTTGTGTGACACCAATATTGCTACTGTGACATCATGTGAGAGTACTCTATAATCATGAACATATTATTGTGATACAGACACTGAGCTCTGCTCCTTCTGTGTCCATATCAAAGAGGTTTGACAGTATGAAACTGCTATGCATTATTTTCAATTGCCAGTGTGGTGTGGTGATTTATGGTGGAACAATGCTTCCTGGCTGTGGAAAGAAACATACAAATTTGAGTGCAGGGAGCCCATTTGAGGTACATAATTTATATACATGAGCATTATAATCAATTATTATGTTATTTTTAGCTTTCTTTGCAAATGGTCTAGTCACACTGGGTAAATTGAGTTGGAATAAACTTCAAATTGCTAACAAAAAATAGTGAAATACAGCAAGATGATGCATAACGGAGTGAAAACTATATCAAGAGTTTAAATTACATGTAACATGAGATGTGAATGGTGAATTGATCAGCACATTGATGTGACAAGAGCATGGGACAAAGAAAACATCTGAGTCCCTGACAGTTATGGAGAGCGAGGTAATTTAACTGAGTTCATATGTGACAGGTACATACAGGTATGACCTCAGTTAAATGACCTTGCTCTCCATTAGTTCTTGTAGCTCAGTAGAATGGAGCGCCTGCCCAGTGTTCAGGAGGTCATGGGTTTGATTTCTACAGCCCCCAAAATGATCCCGACCCCGAAATGATCCCTAACCCTGAAATGATTCCCAAAATGATCCCGACCCGAAATGATCCCCGTTTTTCTTGTTATCAACCTCGAAATGATCCCCAGTGAATCCTAGGAATGGCAACAAAACATGGGACTGTGGATCGCTCAATGATAAAGGAAACTAAAGCTATTTTGGCCTATGTAGTAAAGTGATTTATGGTACATCGATATGAACAACTTAAAGGGAATTAAAAATAAAACAAAAACTGGTAGCGTAATCGTTTTTGTTGATTTGCGCTTCGTTTTCAAGAAATAACCTATGCAAAAAAAAATCAGTTTTCCAAGCAGCATCTTGTGGAGTGAATCCTTTGAAGGTGGATTTCAACACGATGCAAACATGCATAAGCTTTATTAATTTCTCCGCTGGCATCGAAGAGCTATTGCACTACAGTACTATGTACATGTATCAAAATTAATTGTCTTTTGTTTGTTTTGACAGGCATTGGGTTCCTATAGCACAGGTCTAATGGACATTGAAGATTTGAAGGATATTGAGTGCCATGCAATACCTGGTGCTGGAGCATGTGGTAATTTAAATAAGCCAAAATACAGAATTCCTAGAGTTATAGTTGGGGAATGAACTTAGTGCATTGTGTGGGGAAGTAATCAGATAACCTGTATTAATTATTAGTAAATTGCAATGAAGGCAATAATTTTAAAACAGTTTCATATCATTGAATTACATGGGAATTGCCGTAAAAAAATACTACATTGTAGGTCCCCAATAGGGTTCTTCGATCCCACCATCTCAACCAGAATTTTCTCCCAAATTCATAATTGCGACAGTTTCTATTCGCTAATCCCAATTTCAGCCATATCTTTTAAATCCCTAACTTGTCAACAGAAAAGATATTTTTCAATCAACATGCAGATTAATTCCTTCACAGCGAACCTACAGTAAGCACTGACTTAGATACAATGATCTGTCAGTATTCTTTTCCACCATTTGAAATGGTGACATTCAGTTCAAATGTTTTCACGATAAATTTCAAATGAGTTGCGTTAGTCAGTCAGTTCTTTTTTTATAGCTTGTTCCTCTTTTTTTGCTCTCTCTTTTGCCTCTACTGCGTGGGATTAAAGCCTGCCTTCCTGACCATTTTGATCACTAACAAACTTGTCAGTCAGAGATGGTAGCAATCAAAGAAGACTATTAGGGCCTGCTTAATTAAAACACAAAATGGTGAAATGACGAAGTGGCACTTAACAATGTGGGATACAGTTAAGCCATACAATTATTGAAAGCTAACCACCTTCAAATCAGTGTTATTTAGGCTAACCTGTGCGCTATATACGTTAACCATAGTGACATTTCATCAGTTTGCCATGTTCTGTCTTAAACGTGCCCAGACCATTCCATATTGGTACTGATGTAGCAAACTGTCTTGAAACACTTTCCATGTTGGAGGTAATTAAATCCACATATATATGTATTCCCCCAAAAGTTCCATGTGCTTTAGAAGTTTGTGTTATTCAGACACAAAGTGTGCAGAGCTGCTTCATGGGATTTTTTTGTTTTACCATGTGCTAGTGTAGGTGACAGAAGGCTTTTTGTTGTTGTGGTTGTTGTTGTTTAGGTGGGATGTTTACAGCAAACACCATGTCATCTGTGGTAGAAGCTCTTGGCTTGTCATTACCAGGTGCGAAACAATAAAACAAAGAAGACACTGTGATTATTAAACGTTAATAATTTTCAAAACAGGTACAGCTTTCCCTATTGAGAACAATGTAATTGCTGTCTTCATTTACACGTAAGTACACATTCATCTCTTTCCATGTACTGTAAAAAAAGTTCATCTAAATGAAAAAGTGTGATTTGTTGACAATTTGCTCAATCTGAGTTAAGTATGAATTGGTAGGAATGAATGATAGTGTGATTTTTTTAATCTTTAAACTTCAATTGACATTGTTTTTTGCACACGTTAGTGATATTAGTACAGTTACCATAGAAAAACAACACAGTAAGAGGAAATTTAAAATCATGCCTTGTTAAATATTGTCTGAGTCGCAGGTCATTGGTGAAAGTTAGCATAATATTAGCTGAACTAAGGTTTTGATTCTCTGTACATCTGATCAAGTCATTTGTTTCTTTGTCAGGAAGTGCCTCTGGTGTTGCCGTAGATACTGAAAACAAGGTTTGCTTTAGGAGCAATTTTCATTGCAATGCAAGTTGAATTCCCCAAGTCTTGTTTAAGATACCTTTTTATGATCTGCTAGCTCCTCTTGTAGAAATGTCCTGTTTCTTTAATGTGTCTGTCTGTTTGTTTATGTTTTTATGTCTATATGCCTGTGTCTGTCTGTCCTTGTTTCTTGTGGTCTGTGTGCATGTGTGTGTCTGTTTATAAGTATATTTGTGTGTTTAGTTATTAAGTAGTTTTTCTTGCTGGTTTGCTTGCTTGATAGTTGTGTATTTAATTTATGCTGGTCCCCTTAGGTGACAGACAAAAAGAAGAGTGAAGTAAAGGAGGCTGTTAAAGCATTGTTTTCATTAATGAAATCAGGAAAAACTGCAAAGAATATTTTGACTCGTAAGGTGAAAAGTTCAAATTGTGTAGCCAGTCATTCAGTTTAATTTGTCTTTTATGTTGCTCTTAATTTGCTTAGTTTTACACATGGCGGTCTTTTTATAACTGAGAATGATCCGTATTTTTGTCTTGTACTCGTAAGCGAGACTGAACATTTTTTTTATGGAAATTTTTGGGTTTGTAAATGCTGTCGTGTGACGTCGCTATTTATCAACTTAAAGTTGATGGAGGTAAATTAACTGCCATAATGAGTTTGTGAAGCTGACATATCAAGCGGAGTGTGTCAATGCCTCTCTTGGTCACTCCCAGGTATGTAGGTGGTTACCTGCAAATTGGGGGGAGACTCTAAAATTCCAATCGGTTTATATTCTGAGTTTTGTTTGTTTGTTTGTTTGTTTGTTTGTTTGTGTTTTTGCCACTTATAAATATATTTACAAAATATCAATCTATAAGGCAAGGAGGCCCAATCCAAGGAAACCAATGAGGCTTATGTAAAGGACTACTTTAAAGATACCTAAGGTTTAACAAAAAATAAAAATGTTGGCATTCACACACAAAGTGATCATAATTTAGGATACAAAATATTTAAGCAAACCTAAACGCGTGAATGCACAAAGGCAAAGGAAGAAAAAAAAGATGAAAAATAGAACACTAAGAGAAGTAAAATTTACTTAAACCAAGAAAGATGACATAAGTTTAGCGGTTGATACAGCAGTACCATATGCATTTTGAATTTCAGGACTGAGAGAAGTAGTAAGTATTCTTTATTTTTGACAGGCTTTTGAGAATGCTGTAACAGTCATGTATGCATTAGGTGGATCAACTAATGGAGTTCTGCACTTGTTGGCTCTTGCTCACGAGTAGGTTTTTTGTAGTTAAATATATTTTTTGAGTATGCTGTAAATTGTTTGGTGAGGTCCAGCACATAATTCAGTGTATCGATCTCGGTAGTACACCCTACTTTTGGTAAACAATTTATTTTTGGTTGGAGCTGTGTTGCAGAGAACGACTAGGGTATCAGCCAGCTTAAAAGCAGGTTGAGGGATTGAACCATCCTTTTAGTTAACCTTGTCACACAATGTTTTCTGACAAAGATTATATGACAAACCCAAAGATGATCTTTTCTTCTAGGTACACATGGGAGTAAAGATGGAGGTTCTTAATACTTATTCTGTTGTGTTTTCCCCAATTGTTTACCAAGATTTGAAAACATGTGCACCATGGCACAGATATATGATTCACTCAACAGTTTTTTTCTTGATCAAAGGACCTATTAGTGTATCAAGTTATTTTTTTCTGTTCTTACTTATATTCAGATCTGATGTAGAATTTTCCATTGACGATTTCAACACAATTGGAGGGAAAGTTCCACTGATTGCTAATGTCAAACCACATGGCAAGGTATAATACTTACCCTTCATTTTTCAGTAATAAGAAATTAAAACTTCTTCTCTTTAAAACTCAATTATTGGATGGGTTTTTTTTTTTTTGTGATATTTGGAATTATAAAGAGTATACAAGGGTTTGCAGGAATTAAGAGGTATACAAGGGTTTGCATGGGTATAGTATAAAAGGGTTTACAGTCAGGTATACAAGGGTTTGTATTGGTATACTAGGGTTTATAGAGCTACATGAAGTTTTGCAAGGGTGGACAAGGGATTACAGGGGTATACAAGGAATTGTGGGGGTATAAAAGGGTTTGCATGGGTAGATAAAGTTTTGAAGGGGTATATACTAGTCATGCAGTGCTTTCAACTGGTATACATATCCCATGAGTCACTTGCGTACCAAGAAAATACAACGCAAAAGTGTTGCATAATGAATTATACAATGCAGCGCATGACGGGAAGGCTGGGAGTTATACCCTCGAATATACAGCAGCTCCCCTGTATTCTGATTGGCTGTATTTTTTATGGCAATTGTTATAAATAATAATAATCGTTATCTGTATTTCGCCCTACCCTACCGACGTGCATACTTAAGACTTGTATTGTAAGTATTGCTCGAGAGATAAGATTTTAAGTGAATCTCTGCATCAGAAAATTTCTTTTTCAGTATCAGATGGCTGATTTGGACAAGATTGGGGGTCTCCCGGTGAGTACAGTTTTGTGTTTATTCACTAAAACACATACCATGCCCTGGAGTTAAAGGAAAACTCAAGGAGTCCCTCGTATAGTTATTGCCTTAGTTACAGTGAGACGTGCCTGCAGGGAATCATGGTACTTGTATTGAAAAC